AGATTCACATGCAAGTTCACCAGTTAGCTCAGAACGTGGCCTACTTGCCTCCAACTTGTGTGCACATGCACAGTTGAACAGGGCAGGAAGGGGCTGTACTGGGCTGGACAGGGTGGATAGGCAGTGATTGTGCCGCTACAGGAAAGGACTTTCCCTATCACCCTAAGTAGGTGAAACCAGATACTCAGAGGGCTCAGAATGGGCCCCGGGTGGGCAGGCCTTCTGACTTTCAGATACACAAGCAAGTCCACCAGTTTTGTCCAGCAGCTCACAACGTGGCTGCCTGCATCCAACTTGTGTGCATGTGCACAGTTGAACAGGGCAGGAAGGCGCTGTATTGGGCTGGGCGGGGAGGCTAGAGTAGGGATTGTGCCACTGCAGGAAAGAGCTTTCCCTATCACCCTGTGTAGGTGAAACCAAATACTCAGAGGGGTCGGGATGGGCCTGGGTGGGTCCCTGCCCAGCCAGCCTGGTCAACCTGGCCAGCCAAAGTCCTCTGAGTTTACCGAATTACCTATGCAGGATGAAGCAGCAAATAAATTAATATTCTGGCCAATGAAATAAACAAACACCCAAGAGCTTGATGCACCTAAACGCTTTTGCACAAGTGGGGCTTAGGCATGTTTATGAAGCTGATTTTCTCCTGCTAGGAAAAAACATTTACAAAGGCCCCAGTGTGCATGATGTCTAATGGCTAAAAGCAAAATTTGTTGGTGAGAAAAAAAAATCTTTCCCCAAAGTCTCCAGCTGATGCATTATGTTACCCCTATCTCTGCTAACTACAGCCCCATTGTGCACTGTGCCTGGTTTACAATATCTGGTACTTCTGTGTCTGAGGAGGCACATTACCTTCCAACATGACAATGACCCAAAGCACACAGCAAAAATGAGCCCACGGTGGTCGGAGGAGAAAAAAGGGTGAATGTCCTTGCATGGCCTAATAAGAGCTCAGACTTAAACCCCATTGAAAATCTGTGGAATGACTTGAAGATTGCAGTCCACAAACCGTCATCATCAAATTGCAAAGTCTAGATGTGCAAAGTTAGATGTATAAGTTATATCCCAACAGACTAAAGGCTGGAACTAAAGCAAAAGGTGGATCAACAAAATACTGACACAAGGGGGTGATACTTTTTCCAATTCAATGATTCTGTTTTGGATTTTAGATCTATTTTTTTCTTGCATGTTGGTGTTATATCCTTCACTTAGATGTTATAGTTACATAATTAGTCTGGCTGAAAAAAGACAAAAGTCCATCCAGTTCAACCATTAAAAAAAAAAAGTTATAATCCTACACCCACAGTTGGACCAGAGGAAGGCAAAAAACCAAGCAAAGCATGATCCAATTTGCTCCTGCAGGGGAAAAAAATTCCTTCCTGGTCCCCGAGAGGCAATCGGATATTCCCTGGATCATCTTTACCTATAAATGTTAGTATCCAGTTATATTTTGTGTATTTAGGAAAGAATCCAGGCCTTTTTTAAAGCAATCCACTGAACTGGCCAGAACCAACTCTTGAGGGTGTCTATTCCACATTTTCACAGCTCTCACTGTAAAGAAACCTTCCCGTGTTTGGAGATTCAATTTCTTTTCCTCCAGACGTAAAGAGTGCCCCCTTGTCTTCTCTGATGACCTCAGGGTGAATAGCTCTACACTGAGTTCGCTATATGAACCACTGATGTATTTATACATGGAGATCAAATCCCCCCCTTATGTATTATACATGGAGATCATATCCCCCCCTTATGTATTATACATGGTGATCATACCCCCCCTTATGTATTATACATGGTGATCATATCCCCCTTATGTATTATACATGGAGTTCATATCCCCCTTATGTATTATACATGGAGATCATATCCCCTTATGTATTATACATGGAGATCATATCCCCCTTATGTATTATACATGGAGATCATATCCCCTTGTGTATTATACATGGAGATCATATCCCCCCTTATGTATTATACATGGTGATCATATCCCCCCTTATGTATTATACATGGAGATCATATCCCCCCTCATGTATTATACATGGTGATCATATCCCCCTTATGTATTATACATGGAGATCATATCCCCCCTTATGTATTATACATGGAGATCATATCCCCCCCTTATGTATTATACATGGAGATCATATCCCCCTTATGTATTATACATGGAGATCATATCCCCTTTATGTATTATACATGGAGATCATATCCCCCCTTATGTATTATACATGGAGATCATATCCCCCCTTATGTATTATACATGGAGATCATATCCCCCCTTATGTATTATACATGGAGATCATTTCCCCCTTATGTATTATACATGGAGATCATATCCCCTTTATGTATTATACATGGAGATCATATCCCCCCTTATGTATTATACATGGAGATCATATCCCCCCTTATGTATTATACATGGAGATCATATCCCCTCTTATGTGTTATACATGGAGATCATATCCCCCCTTATGTATTATACATGGAGATCATATCCCCCTTATGTATTATAAAAGGAGATCATATCCCCCCTTATGTATTATACATGGAGATCATATCCCCCCTTATGTATTATACATGGAGATCATATCCCCCCCTTATGTATTATACATGGAGATCATATCCCCCTTATGTATTATACATGGAGATCATATCCCCTTTATGTATTATACATGGAGATCATATCCCCCCCTTATGTATTATACATGGAGATCATATCCCCCCTTATGTATTATACATGGAGATCATATCCCCCCCTTATGTATTATACATGGAGATCATATCCCCCTTATGTATTATACATGGAGATCATATCCCCTTTATGTATTATACATGGAGATCATATCCCCCCTTATGTATTATACATGGAGATCATATCCCCCCTTATGTATTATACATGGAGATCATATCCCCTCTTATGTGTTATACATGGAGATCATATCCCCCCTTATGTATTATACATGGAGATCATATCCCCCTTATGTATTATAAAAGGAGATCATATCCCCCCTTATGTATTATACATGGAGATCATATCCCCCCTTATGTATTATACATGGAGATCATATCTCACCTTATGTATTATACATGGTGATCATATCCCCCCTTATGTATTATACATGGAGATCATATCCCCCTTATGTATTATACATGGAGATCATATCCCCCCCTATGTATTATACATGGAGATCATATCCCCCTTATGTATTATACATGGAGATCATATCCCCCCTTATGTATTATACATGGAGATCATATCCCCCTTATGTATTATACATGGAGATCATATCCCCCCCCCCCTTATGTATTATACATGGAGATCATATCCCCTCTTATGTGTTATACATGGAGATCATATCCCCCCTTATGTATTATACATGGTGATCATATCCCCCCTTATGTATTATACATGTTGATCATATCCCCCCTTATGTATTATACATGGAGATCATATCCCCCCTTATGTATTATACATGGAGATCTTATCCCCCCTTATGTATTATACATGGTGATCATATCCCCCCTTATGTATTATACATGGAGATCATATCCCCCCTTCTGTATTATACATGGAGATCATATCCCCCTTATGTATTATACATGGAGATCATATCCCCCCTTATGTATTATACATGGTGATCATATCCCCCTTATGTATTATACATGGAGATCATACCCCCCCTTATGTATTATACATGTTGATCATATCCCCCTTATGTATTATACATGGAGATCATATCCCCCCTTATATATTATACATGGAGATCATATCCCCCCCCTTATGTATTATACATGGAGATCATATCCCCCCTCATGTATTATACATGGTGATCATATCCCCCCTTATGTATTATACATGGAGATCATATCCCCCCTTAATCTCCTCTTCTCAAGAGAGAATAAATTCAGTTCCTCTCTTTCCTCATAGCTGATCTCCTCCATGCCTCTTATCAGTTTGGTTTCCCTTCTCTGTACTTTCTCCAGTTCCCCAATGTTCTTTTTGTGAACTGGTGCCCAAAACTGAGATTGCAAAAATTGAGTTACAAAAATTGCAATTGTGATTCTTTTCTATACAAACTGTACACCCTGTCTGCCTCTCCAGAAAAACAGGGTACAGTTGAGGGTGGTCAAAGCGCAGCTCAACCATGGGGTTTTACTGTTCCATTGCAGGCCATGAGGCCAGCGTTTTCTTGGGCATGGCAGCCCATTCATTTGAACGGTCTGATGTGCCTCCTTTCCACACAGAAAAGGTGCGCATATGTTTTGCAAAATGCAACTGCGGGGAAACTGCATGGTCTTTTTGACCATGTGATCACGCTGCGGGCTGAGATGCATGGGGGTGAAATTCAGAATGAATGGCAGCCCTTCGCGACTCACAAGATTTGGCTGCGGGTGGTTGCAGGTGCGGGAACAGGTGTGATTCCCGCATCAGCCTCCTGCCTGCAAGTGTGAACCTAGCCTTAGGGAGCTGCTTTCTGGTCACATGATGGGTGAGGTCATCTTCCTCCTCTTCTTCCCTTACGTCTGCACAGAACCGCACTCACATATCATTATGAAGCAGTATTGTAGGCCCAGGTCGGTGAGATTTACAGGAAGTGAGTTATATTATGTTGGATTTAATTCAACCAGGAGGAGGAATGGCGCTTAGTGACGGAACAGTAATTCCACTGAGGAGAGCACCAGAAAGAAGGTAAGTATTGAAGCAAAAGCTACATTTCTTCTACCAATAGGTATTTAGCATACAAGCCAATTCCTATTAGCTCCTTTTGGGTTTCTTAGATTTACATTTAAAACCTTTTCTTATACACTATATTACCAAAAGTATTGGGACTCCCCTCCATATTTATTTTATTTTATTTATTACAGGTACTTATATAGGGTCGTCAATTTACACAGCACTTTACATATATATTGTACATTCACATCAGTCCCTAACCATCAAGGGGTGTACATCATTGGATTCAGGTGTTCCAATCCCCTCCATGGCCACAGGTGTATAAAATCAAGCCCCTAGGCATGCAGACTGCTTCTACAAACATTTGTTGAGTCGCTCTCAGGAGCTCAGTGACTCCAAGCGTGGTCCCGTGATAGGTGGCCACTTGTGCAATAAGTCCATCCATGACATTTCCTGGCTACTAAATATTCCACGCTCAACTGTTAGTGGGATTATAACAAAGTGGAAACAACTGGGAACAACAGCAACTCAGCCACCAAGTGGTAGACCACGTAAAATAACAGAGCGGGGTCAGCGCATGCTGAAGTGCACAGTGAGCAGAAGTTGCCAACTGTCTGCAGAGTCAATAGCTAAAGACTTCCAAACTTTTTGTGTCCTTCTGATTAGCACAACAACAGTGTGTAGAGAGCTTCATGGAATGGGTTTCCATGGCTAAGCAACTGCATTCAAGCGTTACATTACCAAGTGCAATGCAAAGCGTTGGATGCCGTGGTGTAAAGCACGCCGCCACTGGACTCTAGAGCATTGGAGACGTGTTCTCTGGAGTGACCAATCACGCTTCTCTGTCTGGCAATCCGATGGACGTGTCTGGGTTTGACAGTTGCCAGGAGAACGGTACTTGCCTGACTGCATTGTGCCAAGTGTAAAGTTTGGTGGAGGGGGGATTATGGTGTGGGGTTGTTTTTCAGGGGTTGGGCTTGGCCCCCTAGTTCCAGTGAAGGGAACTCTTTAGGTGTCAGCATACCAAGACATTTTGGACTCATTTCATGCTCCCAACTTTGTGGGAAGAGTTTGGGGAGGGCCCCTTCCTGTTTCAACATGACTGCGCACCAGTGCACAAAGCAAGGTCCATAAGGACATGGATGAGCGGGTTTGGGGTGGAGGAACTTGACTGGCCTGCACAGAGTCCTGACCTCAACCCGATAGAACACCTTTGGGATGAATTAGAGTGGAGACTGCGAGCCAGGCCTTCTCATCTGACATCAGTGCCTGAGCTCACAAATGTGCTTCTGGAAGATTGGTCCAACCTTCCCATAGACACCCTCCTAAACCTTGTGGACGGCCTTCCCAGAAGAGTTGAAGTTGTTATAGCTGCAAAGGGCGGGGCCAACTCAATATTGAACCCTACTGACTAAGACTGGGAGGCCATTAAAGTTCATGTCTGTGTAATGGCAGTCGTCCCAATACTTTTGGCAATATAGTGTATGTGTTCAATAAATGCAAAAAAAGATCTGTTGATCTTGTTAGAAGTTCAGAGCTGTCCTATGTCCACTGTACACTTCCTATGTTATCTCAAGGAGTCTAATTGTCCTCTTAGTTCTTACATTGGGATTACAGAACAAAAAGCCTTTATGCTGTGGAGAATAGGATAGGTGGAAGATTTATATAGTTTAGCAACAACTGGGCAGGGCTGACACCACTCAGTTCAAAAAATGATGTGTTTTGTTAGCCCACAACAGGACTTGAAGGCATTTCTGGTACACCAACAAATATTATTCTGTACTTGTGGGGTCTTACAGGGATAATCACAGAGATGTACTGCTTAAGTTTTTTCATTTATTGTGCCTTGGCATACATAAATTATAAATTTTTTATCTAACCCGGAGTTGCGGTTGGGTGCTAGTAATAGCATAGAAAAGGGACGCCATTGGTGCTGATGTTGCCATATAGGGAGCAGATGGAGAGTGCGGGGTGATGAAAGGTGAAAAGACACAGAAAGGACAGCAGAACTTGGCATGACACAGAAATAATGCCCTCCAGGTTTATGAAGGCGTTTTTGTCCACTTAGCAGTATGCACAAATACAGAGCAACAAGGATAAGCATCAAAGTGGATACCAAACTGCCTCTATCATGCAGGGGCACTCGGAAATTAAAGTCAACCAGTGAATGGATTTGGATATATGTGGGATATTAAAAATAAAAACTTAAAGGGTCAGTTTACAGACCATATTTTAACAATACATCAGCTGGTGTTATCCATAGATTTTGTGACATCAATGTACTGATACACGTCAGTCTGGCAATTAATCAATACCACAGGGACCACAAAAAAGGTTGATGTTTATGGCCAGTCTTTATGTGAAAGAATAATGAATGGTGTGTTTGGAGTGAGAAGCAAGCATGTACTGTATCTACTATTGTATTTCGGTCTACTGAAAAGTAATATTTTAGTTACTGGTGGAGCACGCGGGCTCAATCAGTCTTGAAAGTCTTAGATTTCTGCAGCAGTAAGATCTCCCCATTACAGCTTTTTGAGTTTCAGGTGTTCTCCCCCACCTTTTTGTCTTTCAGTTGATAAAACATGCAATAGATAAAATTGGTAAATTGGTAGCCCCTCATAATATTCACAGCAGGTGCTTGTGTTGTTCTGCCCCATTTTCATGTATTTCTTCTGTCTTGCATTGAACAGCATAAGGTTATCATTTTTCTGTAGCATGTTGACTTCTAGTGGTGGTTTTGGGGCACTACAGCTTGTTTACTAATATGACTTTGATATCTTTCTCTGTCCTCCTCTCTTGTTTAGTGCTAGTTGGTTGAGTCCTAGCTAGACCCTTCCTACTTCATCCATGTTCCATCACTCAGTGTTAGTTACTAAAGAAACAAGGCTTAGGAAACTCTTTGGCTTTCTTACATTTCAAAAGACTGGAAAAACATCCTCTCTATTGCAATTGTCTGAAGCTAAATTGTTTTGGATTAAACTTCTGTGTCTTATTGAAGTGATAAGCTGCCTGTGGATGTTGCCAAGTCAGCAGGTGACCCGACTGTCCATACAGACTGGGCCGAAGGAAATACAGGCATACCTCAGTTTACGAACGCCTTGGTTAACGTAATTTTCGGTTTACAAATGAAAATCCATTGAAAATAATGCCTCAGTTTACAAATTTTATTAGAAATACGAACAAATTAATTGGTTTTCAAAGCATTTATGATTTTTTCTTAATCATGTCCCTGTACAGTACTATGCCTTTAAAGTGCACTTTATAAGGTGTTTTGAACAGATAAGACTTTTTATGACTTTTTTCTGATCTCCGAAACAGATTAATTGGTTTTCAATGCATTTACTAATTAATTTTTAATCATGTCCTGTACAGTATTTATGCCTTTAAAGTGCACTTTATAAAGAGTTTTGAACGGATAAAATACCTTTTTTTTTTACTTTTTTCTGACCTCCGGAATAGATTAATTGGTTTTCAATGCATTCTTATGGGTAACGGTGTTACGGTTTACAAATTTTTCGCAATATGAAAAGTCCTGCAGAACGAATTAAATTCGTAAACCGAGGTACGCCTGTATGTCAATGCATAAAGCTGCATTTGAAACAGAACAACTGCCAAAACAATGCAATTCCCTTGCAACCATGGCATCCTGGGAGTGTTATGTATTTTGTTTACAATGTGCGCAGAAATCACATTTCCTGTTTTTTCCCAGATGTCTTTAATAGGAAACACATCAGTTACAAGCATTCCCTTTCATAGGTGATTCATTTTTGGAGAGATATTCTCAAAGAGTCCTACAGACATGGTGGTTATAGTGGAAGAAGATCCTTTCCCTTAGCAGTAATTTTCATAGATGTGTTGACAAGGCTTACGTTAAAGCAGACCTTGCATTAAAACAGCAAAGTCCCCTTATTTAGTGTGGGTCACGCTTGCTAAAACCCTGCTAGATGCCAGGTGCCAGATGTATCCCCTGAACGTTTCTTAGGGTACCACTGCATGGGAGTCTTTGTCTCTGAGATGGTGTCAGATTCATATTGCACTAGTCACAGCACACACCATTTAATATTGGAATCTGTATAGACTGACCTGTGATTAAACTGGAGATAATTAAAGGAAGGATCAACATCTTCAGCATCCTCATGAGAATGTCTCCTGGAAAGGCTATCACCATTACGATATCAGGGTGGATGGGAGAGGCCATCCGAAGGAGACCACCAAGCACTGATCCCAAAATGACACCTGAAAGGAAGAAAAGGAGGAACAGGCATTAGAGAAGAGCCAAGGCAATGAAAGGCAGCACAAAATACTAGGAAACCTCCTAGACAGTCCAGCTTTGCATTATGTCACAGACTACATCTGGTCATACACAGAGCAAATTCATCAGGACTGAAATTCAAACCTCAAGTGGGCATGTTGGCACGTTTCCACCCAAAATCCTCCGAACTGAAAATTGAAGGACCTAGAAGGAAAACTGTTGGCTGGACAGTGGTTGCATTCAATCAGATGCAGCCACCTTTCAGGTGTTCTGACAGCAGAGGGTGCCACTTGATGACAAGAGCTAAGCCGACCATAGATGGATTGAATCTTGGCTGGTTCAGCAGGGACCAGCCGAGGTTTGATACATCTATTTGCCGGCTGGTTGTAGGAAATAAAAGTAAACCCATGGGCCTTATCTGTTACAGTACTTTGGCCTGGTATAAAAAATACAATTTATTCCAGTTAGATTGTAAGCTTCAAGGAGCAGGGCCCTCCTAACCCTCTTATATTGAACTGTATTGTTGCTGTATTGTCTCCCGTTATATTGTAAAGCGCTGAGCAAACTGTTGGCGCTATATAAATCCTGTATAATAATAATAATATTAATATATTATATTCTTTACAGAGCAATGACTACCCCCCAGCCAAGATGTGCATGCAATACATAGAGAAGTACGGAGACCCAGGGATGGCATCACTTTGCCTTAAATGAGGTATATCACAAAACAAAATAATGGAATTACAGTAAAACAGTGTTGTGCTGCTCCATAAAATTTCAAATAACCTTACAAATGAAAATCCATGTCATACACTAAATGAAAAATAAAAATAAAAAAGCAAATAAACTCAGTGAGAGATTATAACCAGCAAGTGAAGATGAATACACAAGTAAACACCTGGCAGAGCACCTTAAAAATAACTTTATATATGTGAAGCAAGGCGATAAGCACAATAGAAAAAAAAAAAAGAGGCTCAGAGAAAAATAATACACATCAAGTGAAAGTAAAGGCAAAAGTAAACCCCCGGCAGAACACTTCTGAAAAAATATTAAATCAGAATTTGTATAGGGTATAATAAACACAAATACAATTAATAAAACATGTACTATATATAAAATACCATAAATGTGGATAGGAGATGGTAAAAAAAACACTAACTAAAAGTAAACCAGTGCAAATATAGAATAAATGAGATCTATGAACAAATAATGTGAGTATAAAATAATAATCAACTAATCACATGCAAAGGCAAACCCTTTTAGTTTTGGATAGAGTAGAAGGGGATTACAACACCTGTTAGATTTTTATTTTTGTTTTTGCCCCCTATTAGGGAGACTCACCCTCTCTATTTGCCCTGTTTACCATTATCACAGACAGTGAAAGTGAAAGAACAAATGTTGGGTTGTCCCCGGAACAAGAATGGAGGGGAAATAGTCCAATGGGGACACTAGTTTTGATGACTACCAGGGCATTCCTCGCTTTGGAGGATTTTCTTCTCACTTCCTGTTTTGTCTATGGGATAGGAAGTGAAATCTCCCTCATAACAATGAAAATACTACATGCATTGTGGTGAAGTTAATTTACAAAGTTCACAACAGAGGCATTAAAATCACAGTTCTTTTCTCCTTATATTCTCTGGTCTGCCAGCCTTTTAAAGTAAAGAAACAGCAGGTGATGT